GTACGGAGAAATACATCCGGCTTTGACGTTCATCACAATTCAAACAAGTCGCATGACAGCATCGTATTCTGAAAAAAAATAGAAAGCACTAGAATAATCTGGCAGTACAGAAATCTTTCGCATTACATCAAAATTCCGAGAAACAGCAACTTCGTATGGTATGACTGAAGTGTCACACAGAGAGACTAAAGCGTTCACTCAAAAAACATCGATTGGCCATGCAATTCAAAAATTCGAGCTAATTTTTGATTCATGTTGACTTTTTTCCTCTGCATACTCAGATGAACTACGCCAGCAACTTGATCTGATCTGTTTTACTGGCATGATTCAAATTTGTTCAGAATATGAACCGAATAACCTTCTCAATATCCCGCTTGGTTGAGGTGCGATATCATCCTCGAAGAACTCGCCACTGCCATAGAGATCCTCAACTGAGCATTGAATCCGATTCTCGTACGAGCCGTTCTTTGACTGAAACCTCACGACGAATCATCGTTCGTAGTGTAACTACCAGTAATATGCGTACACCTTGCCACAACAAATTACTTATATATTTTAATGTGATCATTAGTCTTGATCAATCGTCGATCAAATGCACATGCACTCTTCACCTTGTTAACAATTGCATGAAAATGACAAAAATGGATTTATGTGGGATTAGATGAATCACTGAAATGCTCTCGATTGAGAGCAATAAAAAGACTCGATGATAGCGAGGAACACTCAAGAACTGATGCCCAACTGATAATGGGTGAGAAAAAGAAAGAGAAAATGTTGGGAACGGTCTTATAAAATGAAATGGCCAGGATCAGCCCTAAAAACACTCAAAATTTCACTAGCGAACTNCATATTCAATCACAATGCATCAGTGACTTATCAAAATGTGTCTATTATTTTGCAGAGATTCGCGTGAACGATCGAAGTGGTTCCACATACAGGTTTTCGAGTGTTTGTCTGTTGAAAAACGTCGAATGATGTGCTATTTGCGGTTGCGTTTATGCTGCGTGTTGCCAGTTCAGCGGCAGTGGAACGTTTTCGTGAGTCATACGATGATCGGCGCCTCGATGAGGCTTGATTGCCGTCATCGAATGTCTCGAAAACGATCGCTCTCGGTGGCTCACGTGAAGCAGCTGTCACAACATCGGCGTTCGGAGCCATGAATCTGCAAACGTATGAATTGCATTGTCAAGCCACGGATGGCTCCAGTCTGATTTCATTGTTGTTATTGGTTTCTCTGATCATTATTGTAACTATTTCATATTGTTAAGCAAACTATATATGCATGGTTCTACAACGATAGACTTGGATAACCGTTTGAAATGTGGTTATGCTGAGCTCTATGATAAATATTTCTGACGATTTTGCTGACTGATTCTGCAGATTTGCAGAAGAAAACTGCAATGGCTTAATGTTGCAATAACAGTGATTCCGTAGACGGCTTCCTGCGCGATGTGTAAGGCGATCGCATAAAGATAATGAAAACGTCATAAATTTTTTGAAAAATGAGCCGACTGCCACCATGGCAACGTTGTTCTTATTGTTAGATTACGCAACACTGTGAGTGCGCATAATGGGGTTTGAGCATCGGTGTTGTAAGTAAAATAGGATTAGCTGAGGTTGTGATTTTAGTTGATGACTAACCCGAGAACAAGAAGATTAATCGAGGCTGAAAAGAATGCCAAACCGCATAGCAAAAAGAGAAGCGTGAAGACGACATATCCAGGATTTTTCTGCAGTGAACCATCGGTTTGCAGTGGAACATAGTCACCAAATCCAATCGTTGACACTAGTAGAAGATGGCTTTGAGTAAATGACAGTGGTAACAATGATAATAATAACTATGATGATAGTAATAATACCTATGAAG